TATTTAGAAGTTAAAATTTTAATTTTAAACTTTTATAAAGTTATTATAATAAGAAGATTTAATCTAAGACTATTAAAAGTATCGATATATTAGCGAGAATTATTAAATCGATATAAGATAATAATTATAAGAGTATAAGATAGCTCTATTAGACGGTAATTATCTTATAAATAATATATTATTACTTAATATAATATTAGTCTAAAAATACTATTAACTATAATAAAACTTATCTTTTATTATTATAAAGAATTTAATCTTAGATAAAGAGAAAGATAATTAAAGTATTTAAGATTATATTTATTTTAGTACTTAATATAGAAGTATATCTTCTATTAGTTAAATAATAACTAAATAAGATTATCTCGAAAGTTATCTTATAAATCGCTATTAATTTAATATATAGCGAGATTATTAAGTTATAATTCGAGCGATAGAAGTCTAAAAGAAAATCTAAGAAGAATAGAAAACTAAGTTTACTAAAGCGATATATTAATAGATTTAAAGAATAATATAGCGATATTAATAAGATTAAGAAACTACGCTCTTTTAGCGTCGCTTTTAATTAAAAGCCTTTTAAAATAATAATTTATAAGATTAAGAAAGTCGCTAAAGAACTAGCTAAAAGATTAATTAATAAAAGTTATATAATAATATATATAGACGATAGCGAAATTAATAAAAAGATAAGAGTTTTAGCTTTTTTTTTAGATATTAATTTTATTTTTAATATCTATTTAAACTTAAGCGACTAATATATAATATATTTAACGAAGTTATATAATATTCTTTAAGCTTTAACTATAATAATTATATATTAAATAAAATTATAACTTAATAGAGTTATAGTAAATATAAATAATTAAATATTAATTTAGACTATCGAAGACTTAAGTAAGTATTTAAGATAGATCTATATAATATAGATAGTATAGATTATTAATTCGCTAAGATATCTCGAGATAGTAATAGAATTATACATATTATAATAAAAAAAAAAAAAAAAAAAAAAAAAATAAGAATTAATAATAAGAATTCTACTAGGGTAAGCGATTAAAAAGAAGAATACGATTAAGACGAAAGGGCTCTAGCGATATAGAATATATCTCTTTTAAGAATCAAGTATAATAAAACGTAGAACCATGACGGTAACTTATATAGTCTTATTTATTTAAGATTATATAATTAATCGAAAGGATCAGATAGATTTACGTAACTCGCATAGTCGGCTACTAGGTTAGACTTCAGGGTAAGGTATGATGTAATCAATCAATCAATCAAATTACTTAGCAACCTTCATAGTTAATATTCCATTCATATGACACCACTAATATCATTATTCGATACACGGTTCATTCCCCGACAGAGAGCTTCAGCTCGTTCTTTCCTGCACTCTACGGAGATTGGAGCACACTTGGGATTCCGCCATTTCCTTGGAGTCAAGATAAGACGAAGTGTGCGTGGGGAGGAGGCGGAGAGAATCATATTAGCATCGACGCACCACAGATTCGCAAGTAAAGTGACTAGATACTTGAAATAGCAGCGTTACAACCATGCAGCGAAGGAGGACGTCGATTATTCACAGCCTGCAGCTGATTATAGGTAGATCCCGGGCCGCCCCCAACCATCAACTGCTGCGTCCCGTCCTTTATTTTCCATCGCCGTTACCCGTTGCATTATCAACATTGACGTTTGCCAATCGAGCGACCGTGAAAATTGTGCCTTAACACACATAGAAAATGGCAGCGTCTAGTATATCGACGATACCATCGCGACGAAGATGACATGACGATTCTATCACTAACGGAGACGGAGAAATCGAGCGTGTGTTGGCGAAAATGGTTGTGCAGCGGCAACGTTAAAACCTCCCTTTTCCAAACCCCCTTTAGGAACCCAAAAAAATTTTAAACGGCCGGTAATTTTCCCTTAACCCTCCCCCCCCCCTTTTTTTTTTTTTTGTTTTTTTAAAAAAAAAAAAAAAAAAAAAAAAGTCCTTTTTAAATAAACCTCCCCCCCCGCCCCCCCCCCCCCTTCTTTTTTTTTTTTTCTTTTCCCCCCCACAAAAAAAAAAAAAAATTTTTTTTTTTTTAAAAAAAAAAAAAATTTTTTTTCCATGCAAGTTGCCGCTGTGGCTCCCATGATTCGTTCCAGTGAAGATTGAGTAGAATCCGGATAATTCGTAACAGTCATGATAAGTCGGACAACGTTGGACCCTTTGCGAAACGCACGATTCGAGATTTCCAAATTGTTTCCACCTCGAGCTGAACAAGCGTGTTCCTAGGCGACAGGCGGGACTTATTGAAGTGTGTGGAACGCAGCCAGGACCGTGGTAAAACACACAAATCATGAAGGGAACTGAACAGTTAGTCGGCGTTTCTCTGGTATCTCATAGGCGACAGCGTGCCTACTAAGAACACTGCTTCACCTATAAATAGTGGCTGATCCATAAGAAGGTTTTAATCATAGAGAGTGGTCTCAAATAACCTAAAAAAATACCTTCAACGTATAAAAATATGTATCGAGATCAGGTCTAATGTGGTATATCTACTGCCGCCACTGTACATATACTCAGCAAGGGTATCATATGACACAACATCACCCCGGTACAATCCTAAAACATCGCGCCCTGCGGGTCCGTTGAAACCCCGCGTTTATCTTTTACTCTTCATTCAGCATCGGTATCGGTGGACCCGAATAATCTACCATTGAGACGCTCGATATTATCGGATGAAACCATGTCGAAAGTCAGTCAACAGAGTAGCTGCTATTTTTGATCAGAGGTCTTATAAATCTTTCGCACAGCAACCTTTGAAAGATGCCCTCATCTGAGATACCGGGCTCATCACACATCTCTAAGCAAGATGCGATAGCTTTTCTATACAGAGGTAAGATTCTGTGAGACGACGTATCGTACCATTGCCTCGTGATCTCTGATGCGCGTTCCCGCCAGTCGGTACAGTCCACATCCTTCTCGCTCGCCCATTGCTGTAACGGCTTCTGGTGCCACAATTCCAGCAGAAGCACCGCGAGCTCCACCAGGACCTCTTTTCTCTTGGTCGCAGAATCCGTGAGGATGCTGCTGCGTTCTGGGAGGGGGACTCGCTGGGCGACCATGGGTTTCGAGACGTCGAGCCTGAGACCTTCGGTGAGGACACCGAAGAAGTTGACCTGGCTCTTGGTCAGAGCTGTTTGGATCCAAGAGGTGTCGTGCATTTGAAGGATGCAGCATGATAACGTGAGTGCTAAGAGCGCTCGCTGCGACCATTCCATGTGGCGGTCTTCATCGCCAAAGCTGTTGGTAAGGAATTCATCCAAATTGGTTGTCGCGTGAAGATCCCTGCAGTCGTGAGGCAAGTGCTTTCTCTCTTGGTCTTGGACGTAGCGTAGGTGATTTGCTGTCAGTCGGAATTCCAGGACCGAATGTGGTTCAGATGCCTCGTGGACCTCTTGACAGATGCTAATGCCCTCATCCTGCGTATTATTGCTTTGACGGGGAGAGCTCAAGAGAAAAATTAGTAGGCTCTTTGCTGTAAGCACAAGTATGAGCAGATTACTTACCCAGAAGTGGCTCTAGATAAACGGTTGGTATTGCCTTCGGCCCGCACTAAGGCTTTGTGACAATGTGCTTTGTTTGTATATTGGTCCATGGTCGCAAAGTATACCTCGAACGAGGTTCCGTCTGCTTGCGTATTCCTCGCATCTTGGGATCTCTGTGCATCCAAAGCAAGGAAACTGTCTACAAGCATCATGACTTCATGAGACCTGTGACATCCGGGACTGCATCCTCTTTCAATTGCCGTAAACAGAGACCTGACAAGATCTTGTATCTTTCGGAAATGTTCGGCTAGTTGCTGTGAGCTCTCCGTGATGTGTATTGGTTTTTGGCTGTGAAGTAGGATCATGCCATCAACAATCTGTGTGATCATTGTCGTCTGTTCGTGAAGAGTATCGATTAGTTCTTTGAAGTATTTGCGATCCAACGTGAATCGAACTCTGCTCCGAAATTGATATCCTCCTTTCTGTGTTGGATTCGCCGCCACTATCGAATGCAAGTCGTCAATTGCAGTCTAGATACATCAGTCGATCACAGTGTATGCTGAGAAGAGTCATCTGACTCACGTGTGGAAGTCTCTGTATTTCGACCAATTCAGCAGCGATGAGCTTCAGACATCTCTCATACGACCGAACGACCGACTGAAATCTGTCGAAAGAAGAGCGTAGATAATCTTGGAGCTTTCGAGCCACCTTCTGGTCCATGAGAAGTCGTATACAGTGTTGTTCATCCTGTAGCGCTTGACTATCGATTCCCGCAGCCATTAGAAGTGTTTCAAGCTTCAAGGAAATCACGCATCTCGCATTCTGCAAACGATGGATCAAAGTATCGAGAAGACCACGCCATTTCATCAACGAAGCAACGAGACCTTGTCCAGCCTTGTAGTTTTCTAGAGCTGAGATCACGATTGGTAACGCTCCCAGTACAAGCCCCGCAACTTCAATGCCTGACATTTTCAACTAGAGGAGTGTTTTAGGGCTCCAACGGCTCTCTGGGCGGGCCGATGTTGAGATTTTGACATTCGACTGTCGTACTCAGCCTTATCGCAAAGCCTTTCATGCGTACCCCGCAGCGTCTCGTTGTCATTGGCCAATAAGCTCAGAGCCTCAGGGAGGACTTGCTTCTTAGCCGCCTCCGGCCGTAGCGCGTGCTTACATCGCCTCTTGAGGTTGTAAGCTACTTCTGTCCTCACCAAAACTCCTTACTGGAATTAATTCGGATTATTGATCGCTAAAAAATCACAGGACTTTAAACCCGGGTCCGCTTTTCCGACCTTTGATGTAGGGCTATGGGGTCGACTCCGCAGCAAGCAGAAGAATTGCGTATTGCTGGGGAGTCATGTAAAAAGCGCTTTCACGACTTACTCGAGGCTTCGAAGCGAAGAGATGGATACATTCTGAATGTATTGTCGGAACGACGCACACTCATCCACTCACAACGATACGGCATGTGGACCGCAAATGTAGACATTCTCGAGACCGGTCCGCATTCTCTGGACTTCCGCCTCAACGAAAAGAAAATCTTGAGAGACTATGTCTTGGGTATCCTAACAGAAATTAGTCAACAGGTCTCCCGAGGGAAGCACCCATCATAGGTCTTGTTTGGATCTGCAAAGAATTAATTCTATTACAGTCATCACGATTGCGACCACTCCACGAGCGTCCATCACCAGGAAGCTGTATGCTGAGACGTCAGACTCTAGCCCGGATGTCGTCGAAGAAGACTTCAAGAGTCAAGACCCGCCTTTGGCCGTCAAGACGATCTACAATGCTTTAGCCGATGAAGAAGAGATCTGTGACGAAATCATAAGAGATCGACTCAACAGTCTCTTCGAGATCGCATCTGAGATCCCTTCTAACGAGGCATCTACACCTATTGAGCACGCGACATGCGCAGTTCAGAACGTCCAGAATGCTCTCACTCCTGGAGATGAACAACCAGATTCCTCGATGACAGGCGGGACTTATCCGACCCTGTTGAACCCAGCCAGGACCGCGGTCTCCGGCGTAACAACACAGCCAGGATATAGTGTAGAGAAGACCACAGCTTCGAAGAAGGACAGAGTTTCAATGAAACGCCTCTTCAATACTTCGAATAGGCATGTCACCATGGAGCTATAACGAGCGAATAACGCCATGAGGCTGACATGGTAGTCGCAGGAGAGAGTACCACATCGTCGTGCTAGGCGCCGGTATGATTTCTACCATCCATTCTCTACCCGTATAAAAAAGCAAGTTCTGACGTTTTGGCAGGCGGTGTAGGGAAGAGCTGTCTGATAGGTCTGCCTCAATCTCACAGAGATGAGCTTCTAGTCGCTTACACCGCATCGCAGGGCAATTCTTACAAAACGCCTGGATCGACACCTACGATCGCACAATAGAAGACTCGTACAGGAAGCAAATAGAGGTCGATGTATGTCGTTGCTCCAGCTCCAACTATGGCCAACCACTTCCACTTACTGCAACCAAGCTTGTTAGTGACGTGATTCAGGGACGGCAAGTCATCCTCGAGATGTATGACAAGAGCGCCCCCAGACAACAGCTGCTGCTAGCTAACAATCGCAACCCCACAGATTAGACACGGCAGGCGAAGAGCAATCCAGTACGCCCCTACGCACCCCTGCCTTCAGCCTCAACATCATCTCTCTTTCCACAATGATACCTATGCTCCCCCTAACACCTCCAAATCCTCACCACGTCTCCCAACCGTCAGATCTTAATGCTAATCTCGACTCTCTCCTTCTCACACAGCGGCCATGCGCGAACTTCATATAAAATCCGGGCAAGGCTTCCTCCTCGTCTTCAACACCACGTCCCTCTCCTCCCTCGATAAGCTCTCCAGTCTACACGATCGAATAGTTCGTATCAAAAACGACCCTCTCACCCCACTGGTCGTCGTCGGCAACAAGTGCGACCTGAAGGAAGACCGCGCCGTTTCACGGGCCAAAGCCTTGGCGGTAGCTCAATCCTGGAATGCACCGTATTATGAAACGAGCGCAAGAGCGAGGACGAACGTCGATGAAGCTTTTGTGGATCTCTGCAGGCAGGTAATCCGTAGGGATGTAGCTGCCGAGCAGACTAGCGTAATGGAGACTAAAGATCGAAAATGGATGGGCAGGCTTCATAGAGGGGCTAAGGAAATGAAGAAAAAAGGGAGCTTGAGGAGTGGCTGTGTTATTCTATAACAGCGGTGGGGATATGCACCATCGCAAGTTACCATCTAACATGCATTCCTCGCCTTATTGACTCCCCAGCTGTAGTGTCTACCGTCATGCACTGGCGCCATTGAATTTCATTCATGCTACTCCCGCCGCACATTCAGCAATTGTTGTTTTCTGCCAGAGTGTCTCCTATCGAGTAGGCCACACAGGGGCATGAAAACTACAATCGTGGAGTTCCCGCCACAGTCTTTTGTTCTTAGACAACCGGCCGAGCGAACGAGGCCGATCGGGGTTAATGGCCAATATTCGTGTGAGGGGCAGCCGTTCAAAATGGCACATAGCGAAAGAGGACAGCGGAGAAGGCGAACAGAGACGGAAGACCAAAACCGAAACGATGTTGAATTGTGTAAGAAAAGAGGGGCGCGACAGGACGAGGTTGGTAACAGATAAATTCGATGTCGCAACCGCGATTTTCTCGTTGATTCGCCCTCCAGAGCTAGCCGCGGACTCGTCGCTGCACTTTAAACCGTATCGCTCACCTGGGGTATGATATCGAAGCGTAGGTCATGGATTTCGTTCTCAGAAAAGGGAAGGCCACAAGGCAAGCGGCTCACCCCCGTGGAAGGGTGGGTCATCACCTACGCTCACGTAACGCTCACCCGCGTTGCTCCAGCACGAAAGCGGTGCTCAACATAGATCTGATCAGGGGTGAGACCGGGGCACATTTCTCATGGCGTGGCACAAGAGAGCATCGAAATGGGTGTGCCTTGGCGTCACGCAAGTGGAAAGCAGCAGCCAGTTGGAAAGGGACTCTTTCAAGCCAATACTCGACCAGGCTTGTGTCGTACGGAATCTTTATGTTACTTGGTGGTAAACCACCAAAGATTGAGGGACTGAACCTAAACAGCGCTGCCCCAGTCGTGATATTACGATGACAGATGACGGGATGGGGACTTTGACCAGTCAAGTGTGTTCCTAGTCTGTTTGGTGGTCGTATAGTCTCAGCTTGGCCCCACCGGCCTTGAGGTGGGTCTGAGTAGGAAACCCTGCCAAGACTGATTTTTTTGGTGTATTGCCCGATATGTAATATTCACACCCTGCGTACATATGATCCTTAACCAAAATGCGCAACTACGATGGCCTTTTTTGGAATTCTTGAAAAAAGTCGAATAAATAGTCAAATAGGCCCTCGTCAAATTAGGAGCTGTGGTGCAGTGGTTAAGAAGTAGGCTTCCAATTCCATTCCACCAAAAAACTCAGCTAACTCAGCCATAGCAGCGGCACCAGTAATCAATAACGCCGTACGTCTTAACAGACTCATGGCTGCGGTAGCCCGATTAGCTGAAATAACCGAGACATCTCCATGGCTGCGGTAGCCCAGTTAGGTGGAATAGTTGAGACCTCACCATGGCTGCGATAGCCCAAATAGGTGAAATGGTTGAGACCTCTTCATGGCTGCGATAGCCCAAATAGGTGGCATAGTTGAGACCTCTCCATGGCTGCGATAGCCCAAATAGGTGGAATAGTTGAGACCTCTCCATGGCTGCGGTAGCCCAAATAGCTGAAATAGCTGAGATATCTCCATGGCTGCGAGGAACCAAATATATAACTTTTTTTCTTTGCTCCAGAACTGGTCCGCCAAATATTTTAAAACTTCGTATTTATCAGAAGAAAGAATATTCCTATAAGATATAAAGAGGTTAGTATATATAGTTCGAAGATATCTCGCTATCGTCGTTAAAGAGAAAATCGTATATCTAAGCGCTTCTCATAGTCTCCTTATACGCTTAAATTCATTTTAAACGCGTTAAGCGCGTTAAAACCATTTAAGATATATATTTTATACTCCCTTCAACTTCTAAATAATATACTTCTAAGTTAACGAATATTTTACATGATATGCCCTACCTTCAAAAGTGATCCTGTACGTGTACGAAGCACAGATGTTGTTTAAACGGCCAAAGTCACGCATGTGCTGCAGGGACAATTCAAAACAGACTGGCAGTGGTCTTACTACAATCGACGGACATTGGAGCCCTGGAAATCGACAAATGCCCGATCTCATCTATTCGTTGGTCAATTCTCACAATTGTAGCCAAGGCGGGCGCCTTTTTCAGCTTTCCGCATCCTCATTTCCCGGTCTTTCCAAGTCTTCGTTCTCGTCTCGTGTCCATCATCATCCTTGTCTTCATCGTCGTCCTCGTCACATGTTCCTTTGTTTAGTCTAGACTCCGACTTCGATGTCTCTTTATCTTCACCATCGCTGCTTCTCCTCTCTCTCGAGCCACTCATCGAGGTCACGTTCTCGTCTTTCCGCTTCCCATTGACGACGTACGCAGGCACGACGAGCTAATTCCTGGCTCCCAACAAAAGCATGCCCCTTTATAGTATCGAACATATCTGCTTCGCCTCGGTCAGTCTTGTCCTCAAGCTTTCGAGCTTTGATCGGTCCGGTTCCTTCGTTAGATAGCTGAAAAGTGTCAGCAGAAACTCCTGATACATCGAAGGCAGCAAGAGAGCATCTACATTATGTTTCATATAGTTCTTCAGCTCCTCGTCTGCACAGAATTGAGAAGACATAGCCCGCTAATCGAAGCTCATCTCCCGCTGTTCTTCATCGACGACCAAGATCGGGTACTCTGGTTTTGTTTCTGACTCCACGAAAACGGACCAAGTGTCTCAGACACCAAGAGTCGGCAGTAAGACACACGTGACATGATCTCTGGGAGAAATGTTCTGTGCCACCCTCAAGCTTGAAGACAGCCGTCTCGCATTCATTGGCAAGGCGATTGAATCCCAAAGGAAATGTCGCTGAGGTAAACGTTAAGCCCAAGTATTTCTTCAGACTCCCAGATACCTGATTCCGCTTCAGCAAGGTCCATTTTAGGGCTGAGACCGGACCGACTGCAATCGAACGTGATGGTCGTCGTTATCAGATACTCGATCCTAAAAATGCGCTCAACATCATCTTTGAACTGTCTAAAGACGTTTCTGCAGTCTGTCCATAGGCGAACGAGATCGTGGTATTTTCGAAAGTTGGAAAGGACCATCGGCCAAATTTCGGGTGGGAATACAGATTTTGTGACCTGAGAAGACGCCATTGCAGTGAGCTTCTAACCAGTCGATTGGATCAAGCATTCAGAAAAGCTATTGAAGGAAGTTGAGCATCGCAGGGGAGAGAGGAGAGGTGAAGAGGTTGCTTTGGCTGGCTCGCGAGTAGCAAAAAAAGCCGGATTGGCCCCCAGAGTTAGAGGCTGGCTGCTGGCTTAGGATCTGCGTTGATAAGGTTGCCTTACTTGTATCCCCGCTGCCTTGAGCCCGAGCCACCAACGAGGAGGATATCCTGAGGACGTGGGGTATCTCAAGACGCAAAAGCATGAGCCATTCAACATCATCACTTTGGAGCAGAATGACGCGGGATGACCTTGGTGGAGGCGAGCCGGATGGAATTACTGTTGGCAGATGCAAAACCGGCGTTCAATTGCGTCTTGGTCAACTGAATGAGGAGGTAGCCATTGATTCTTCTGCCTCAATGTGCTGGTAGTTGATGCAAGTGTACGCCTAAAGTGAAGACTCCTGAGGAGCGCACGCAGCGCTCAGAATTGTAAGTCCATTCCTCGCTGACCTGACACCCTCACTACGAAACGCCGAAATGGGCAATGCTCCTTGATCAGAAGGCCAGCGCCAGTGGCCCCTCCCTTTGTCCTTGGCAAGGGTGAGGAAAGATGGAAGCTCCACTTAACGCACCCAAAGAAGATTTGTTGGGCCAATCCATGTTTGCTATCAACCAGAAAAATGTTTGTTTCCTTTGACAAAACTTAGGGTACTCCCTGACTGGGAACGGCATGACGTACATCAATACTGAGCATTGTTACTCCGCTAGATTAAGCACTTACATGGGTACGCAATCCACCGATACAAGTCTCTGGTCAGCACGACACAGCCTGAACAATCTTCTATTGTTTGCTACTACCAGAGTAAATGCCACAGTCTCTTTTTCTGTTTGCTCTCGCCGGCTTCCATTGGCCTCCATAGTTCCCCCTCGTCTCATATAAGATGTCTCACCCCTGCCGAAGGACTGCCAAATCATACCTAATCATACATCATCCTAAGACCATCTAGTAAGGAAAACACCATGGCATCAGCTTCAAGCACCCAACTTCCCCCAGGGGTCTCACCAAACCATCTATTCGGCCCTCTCAAAGAACTCATTGACGAACTCCGTATCTTTACCCTGGAAACTGCCGAGAACGGTGAATCCGACGACCTAGGCGTCCGCACCATCACAGCCGGGAGTAACTCTGACGCCTTAGTCCCCCTCTTCTTCCGCTGCACCTGGCCCGCGGGAGCCAAATCCCGCCACAAACTCATCTGGATGAAACCCTCCGTCCCTAACGCAGCCCTCGGAGCCGCCGTCAATGACGCCTTTCGGGTCATCGAAGCCGGCGGCGTCGTCGAGAAGACGGTCGCTATCTGGGGCATCAGCAATCCCTTCACCGATTCTTCGGCACGCGGGATCGCCTTCCGCGAGAGGGTGAGACGTGCGGTGGGCCTGGACGATCCTCCCACGCAGCAGCAGATCATCAAGATGATGGAGGGGACGATGAACGGGATCATGCAGGTGGTGGTGGAGCCTGAGCGGGATGCAAGGAAGTGCGTCGTATGTCGCCAACCTCGGCCGTTCACCCTGGGTCATTTGGACGACTTGCGACAATCAGCGTTTGGGCCGATGATGTTCTGCCAAGATTGCGTTCAGAGGCTTGGTTGGCAGGAGATTAACCGTATCATTGGCCAGGCGGAGGCGGAGGGAGAGCAGCGCGCGCGGAGTAGTCTGAACAACTCCTCGGGGTAGAGATTGGACAGAGCTCTTCACATTCGGAAAAGTGGGTTGAAAAGCCTTCGAGAGCCACGTGTTAACTGTGAGGTTTGGCAGTATGACCTTGAAGGCTTCCAATTGTAGGCTACCGACATATTTGGGTTCAGACAATGATAGACTGTTCATACGTGCAAAGTGCAACTCTGCCATGATGAGTAGAACATGACTTGAACCTGGGTGATTCGAGATAATAGCGCCTCACAACAGAGGTGATCTAAGAGCTGATTCTTTTATTCTGAACATCCATTACATTCCTCCTTGACGCCTACGATGGAGCCCATCAGCGTAAGATTTCCGGTATCACCTTTCTCATATCAAACCTTGCAATAGACATCTTCGTTATCGTGTCCAAAATGAGCAGCTCGTAGAACATAGGAGTAGGGGATCTAAGCGATCCGTCCCTAAATTTGGGTTGATCATGGTCGTCTGTGGCCGTATCTCGGAAATGGCGACGTCACGACTGCCAGGAGGGTTTGTTCGAGTTGCCAAACACGCGTAGGACTAGTGAGGGAGGTGCGTCGTGCCGTATCACAGAAACCTGTCATATTGCTCATGATCGAGGTCTCATCAGTCTACGTTTGAGGAGTCATATTAACGTGGACTGGGATGCATCTACTGATGAACAATAAAAGTGACCGCGAATGTGGTATGGTATGAATGACCACATTTCGCATCGCCGTAGCCAAATCCCTGTGATACGTTACCACGTACCCCTTTAGAGAGTACAAATGCAAAACAGTTCAGCCTAGACGCCGTTTCTCGTGCAATCTGAATAAAGATCAAGCAAGGTGCCTACCTAATTTCCAACACTTTCCCAGTATGAGCCGCGTGCAGGCATCAGCTGGGTTATCTAATTGAAGAGCGTACTGAGCTGGAAGTTCAAGCGAAGGAGCACGCACTACCCGGGATGGAGTGCGACAACGTGGGGTGCGAGAGCACTCTAACAGCGGCAGCCTCAGAGGAGCGCCCCGGGTTGGGCGCGGATTCCAGATTTCGCAATGGTCCTCGTTCTGCTGTGTTGCCTTCTCCCAGTTCTGGGCTGTTTACTTTCAATTCTGTGTCCTCGCATTGATCTTTCTTGCTCTTATCGTTCGAGGAGCCAGACTGGATATTCTCGTAACCGCTATTAATCTCTTGTCTGGAATCGGATGGAAGCAACGGAGATTTTCCTCGGGGATTATGCCTATGTAAATCGGAGCACGAGCACCTTCAAGCTTTCTTTCGATTGTTCTTCACAGTACGTGGGTAGTCGACCATACAGGTATCTCGTAGCCTAGCCCCATTGTTTCTACGTTCTTCCGCTGCCGTAGATTACATCTCCGGTGCCGCAATAGAAAGGCTGTACCTCTAAGTAGTATCTAAATGGCTCTATCCAAAAAATCGGCTACCGAGGTAGCTTGAACCGATGATCGAAAGTTCGTATATACATTGTGACGACGCTACGAAGATCTCATGTCAAAGGTCGCTGGGCTTGATTGGCTGATTGCTACCAATTCATCCATTGGTCGAGCCGAAGGCGCACCACTTCAAGTTGCATAGCTAGCCTATCTTTCGAGGCTGACAGGCTGACAGGCTCTACGCCCAGCATTTTTCTTCATTATGAACTCACAAAGGGCCTTTGTTTGTTACAATCATAGTTGTCTTCCATTCTCCATACTTCTTCACACACACTGCTGAGGCGCACGACCGCAATCTCACCTCCCTTGCACCTACGAAAGGCAAATCCCACAGTCACAAGCTTGAACATCAAAGTGATTTGGCGGAACTGATCTCAAAGTATGGATCCACTATCGGCCGCAGCCAGCGTGATAGCTGTGGTTGGTGCTGCAAAGAAAGTTACTAAGGCTTTGGACCTGTTGAAGGCTGTCAGAGGCGCACCCCAAGGTCTCAGTGACCTCCTTGGAGACGTCTCTCGTCTTGAAAAGGTCCTTCAGGCTATTATGAATGTTTCGATGGAATCCCAACAGCCGTTGCCACAGCTCAGAGAGGTTTTAGATGAGGCTAGGTCGAAGCTGCTCGAACTTGACAGTCTCATTCAATATACTCTGACAAAGGTGGGCGAAAGCAACAAGGTCGATCGCTGGCAGTGGTTAAGGAAGGAGAGCGACGTTGACACTCTCCAACGAAAATTGCTTGCCATTCGACAAGACCTGATTATGTTGATCAGCACTACAAATTTGTGAGTCTCTTTTCCTCTTGTGCTGGTCCTGCGGTTTTAGCGAGCTCAAAAAGGCTATGATTTGTAAAGCGCCGTTCTATACTAGGCCCCTGATAAAGCGTTACTATTTGAGGCATGTTTTGACATCTCGTTCTTGCGGTAGTATGACAACACAGCAAGTTTCTAGCATCACAGAAGAAATATCCTCGCGCCAGCGGCAAACCGACCATCTAATCGGCCAAATATCAGCACGACACGAGGCCATGTTCGCCATACTGTGCCAAAAGCTTGAAGAGGCTCCAAAGACGTCGGATCCGCCCACTAGGATGTTGGGAGACTTCCATGAGGCCAGCATTTGTACAAGTAACACATTAATCGCAACGTCTCCTAGGGATACCTCGGATTTACATAGACCCATTGATACAGTACCAAGGATAGCATCCCCTAGTGACCTTCGACTGCATACATCACAACGCATCAATACATGTCGGGGATTTTGCGGTTGCTCTTGTCACCGTTTTCGAAAAGCTGCTATACCTGGTATCTGGTCGCTTGCGGTTCGAGGTCTCCAACTTCCATATCTCAGATCTTCCTGCGATTTTGGTTCGTGCAAGTGTCGCGCTGCGCTATGTATCAAGATAGATTGTCACTTACCAACCTGGATTGCGTGTCGAATGATTTCCATGTGGTTTAATTCTTCGCCTCTTCATGGTCCGGAGCTTCTTCTTAGGGTACCACGAGTACTGCCCAACTCGAACCCGATCATTGAGTCAGTCAGCAAAGGCGATCTCATTCAGTTCAAAAGACTTGTGGCCCAGGGACATGGATCGCCGTACGATATTGATGAGTGGGGATCTTCATTCCTGATGGTAAAAGTCTAACCTTTGATCATTGTTAGAACGCGAGCATCGGCTAACTGTAATGGTGGCAGATGACATTGAACGAGGCCTGTTTCACAAGTCGAATGGAACTTGCAGCTTACCTTACAGAGATTGGTGTTGAACTGGACCACGAAATGTTAGTCCAAGCTCGCTTTCCGTTGAGCCTTTGGCTAAATGAGTGGTAATAGAACCCAAAGCCCGACTGCCGTCTGTGTTCAGGTTTTCGCCTTTGGAGTTGAATTTGACCATTTTAAGTCTCGTCTTGAATCTTTTACGATGGTAGATTGGGATGAAGTGTGCGAAGAACTGGGCTTTTCTGAGCTACACAAAATCGTTTGTGGGTTCAGTATTAGAGACCTAGATGCTGAGGCTCAGCTTCATCCCGAACTACTTGATATAACGGACGCATGTGGTCTGAGCCCACTTCATTTTGCAAGCAGATTCGGTAGGGCAGACTACGTCCGGACTCTCCTTGAACATGGATCTAACCCAAATATTGGCAACGAAAGGCCATTAGTTGCAGCTGCAATGAATGACGAATATCAATGCATCAGACTCCTTCTTGAATATGGTGCCACAACCGATTGTATGAGAGAATATGTTTGGGAAATTTCGGATGGTCTCTATAGGCATGCAAAAGAGGAAGAGGCGCTAGCCATTGACGCACTCCTTCTTGAATACGCATATGACTTCAATTGCCAGGATGGCGAAGGCAAAACCGCCCTTATGTACTGTCCGATGTTTCCCACGTTGGAGCAGTCGTGGTTGCACAATCACCGTATCCCGAAACTACGGCTGCTTCTTGATGTCCCTGTGGACACTGAGGTCAAGGACGACGAGGGAAAGACGGCCTTACATTTTGCTATCGAACACTCTAACGTCATGGCTTTCGAGATGCTAATGAATGCCGGAGCATGCCTTGACGTCGATTTACCCGAAGGCACGACAATTTTACATTATGCTATTCTTCATACACGGGATCACAATCTCGTGCAGGCTATGCGCAAGGCAGATCTTATTCCCATAAATCTCGAAAGGCGAGATAATGACGGATACACTGCGCTCGATCTTTTGGTGCTCAGGGCTAGAGCTGAGTGGAGTGACCGATCTTGTCAGTTTGACAATGATTTCTACCCAAGATGTGTTCAGCCATACCGTTCGGCCAACAGCCCGTGGATATTTGGATGGATCGGAGTGGCTGCAACACTGGAGGAAGAGTGTAGAGTTGTTGAAGCTTTGGAAGAGCTCTTGCAACGGATCCAGGCTTCGCAAGGGGTTCAAGAGAAAGAGAGATACCCGCCACTTCGCACATTGGTCGAGCGCGACGAGTATAACAACCTTTTATTCGACAGCTCTGTCAGCTGCACAGACGTCCTTCCGGGCGCCTGGCCTGAATAGGATGACTTGTCAAAGGGCGTGGCGGGACTAGGTTCAGTGCCAACGTTCCATTACAGCTGGAAGAACGAAGACGCTGACTGTCTGGGGGCTGCAAAAGAAACTGAGGCTTGAGAAGAGTCCCACCACACATCATTTCGTGGTGTCAGAAGACGCACATGGGGAGGATAGTATGGTAAGAAAAACAGACCAAGCATCGACGGAAGACACTCGATATCTTGGTTCCAACTGTAAACCCCTAGGTGAGACTCAGGATTCTGTAGTTGTCGCTCCTCGCGCAGATCGTTCCAATACTTCACCGCAACTGTGAGACCTGCATAGGTAATTTCTGGCGTATGGGGAGACATGGAACCATCCCTTGCATACTCAGCTGCAGGCCGCGTGAGGATTGAGGCGTTGGAGACGGAGACGATGACAATTCGTGTGATGTTGATTGAGGAAGAGTGCTGACTGGTAAGGTAAAGGAGAAGTGGACGAACGTGCGACCTTTCAAGAATGCTTCCATTCGACAAGTCCGTTCAATTCGTTATATCATGAGGCATTTCAGCCTTGGCTGTTCTCCATTGGTCTCTGCGCTACGGCAACGTATCCAAATCACCCTCTTGAGGAGCTGCAGAAAGAAAGCCCATCTCAATCCCTCAAGAACTCCTGAATATGTCTCACAAGCGCGTCCGGCGCTTCCTCAGGAATATAATGCCCACAATCCACACTCTCCCCACTCACCACCCCCTCCTCACTCACCTTCCTCCACTCCGCCAACGCATCAAACTGCGCCTCAATCACCCCTTTCTTCCCCCACAGCACCCTCAACGGACACGCAATCTTCCTCCCCTCGGCCACATCCTCCCTCGCCTCCTCCAGATCGATCCCCGCCGCCGCCCTATAATCCTCACACATCCCATGCACCGTCTCCGCATCCCCCATCTGCCCCACATAACTCTCCACGCACGCCGCATCGAACGTCCCCAGCCCCGCCCCGCCCGGCCCCCCCATCGTATTCTCGATCCACCCCCGCGCACCCCCCACCATCAACCCCTCCGGCAGCGGCGCGTCCTGGATCAGGAAAAACCAGTGCCAGTACGCCCGCGCGAACGCCATGTCCGTCCTCTCGTACATGGCCAGCGTCGGCGCCACATCCAGCACCAGCGCCTTCCGCACCCGCTCCGGATACCCGACGCACAGCCTGTGCGCCACCCGCGCGCCCCGGTCGTGCCCGCACACGTCGAACCTCGCGTGCCCCAGCGCCGTCATCGCCGCCGCGCAGTCGGCCGCCATGGCGCTCTTGCCGTAGCCGGCGTGGTCCGCCCCGCCGGCCGGCTTGGACGATTTCCCGTAGCCCCGCAGGTCGAGGAGGACGAGGCTGTGGGTGCTGGTCAGGTGCGGGGCGAGGCGGTGCCAGATCAGGAGGTTTTGCGGGAAGCCGTGGAGGAGGAGGAGGGGGGGGTTGTTGTGGGGGGTGGTGGGGGGGGAGGTGAGGGCGTGGAGGGAGACGGTGGGGGTGACGGGGATGGTGTGGGGGGTCAGGGTTGGGTAGAGGGTTGTGTACGGGTCCATCTTTGCGGTTGAGGGTGGGAAGCGGTGCTGTGATGTTGAGGGGTGGGAGTGTGAGGGAAAGATGGAAACGAGTCTTTGCCGCGGGGTTAAAGACGGCGGGGATAAGAAATGACGACTGCGAGTGTCGCTCGGCGCATCCCAAGATAATAACGACAACGTCAATGACAAGGCTCGTACCATCATCTACTTAGCAATATCCAACAAACCATAGCCCGGCACATTCATGCCCCCCCAACCTCGGCTCCCCCTTCCTTCATCCCTCCCTCCCTCGCCGCCACCTCATGAACCCCCTTCCCCACATGATAGCAATCGAAATGCCACATCCCTAACCTCCGTCTCCCCATGCACGTGGAAATACCCTCTATTCTCCACATTCTTAATCACGCGGTATAGTAAACCCCCGATCCCTCGGGCGGCGGCCGCACCGCGAACTCCGCCGCGATCGAAGCCGTCGGATTTTCCGCCGGCAGCAACGTCACGCTGTTCAGGCGTTCGCTATCCTTGAGGTTTAAGGCGACGTTGCGGAATATGACGGCGAGAGCGGCGCGGTCGGGCGCGTAGTTGAGCAGTCAGCGTTGGGGATCGGTTTCGTGCAGTTGGCCAGGGTGAAACGACGCTGCTGCTTTTTTCCCTCTTCCGTCGTCGTCATCGTCGTCAGGGCTCGCGGATAGAGAGGTCGCACCACCGGCGCTGCACCTGCGGCGGGCTTCGGAGATCATGGGGGGCGAGGTGGGAAGGAGAGGAAGGAGGAGGTGTAGAAGCCGGATCCAAAGCCGAGTTCGAGGACGCGCGTTTTCGGGATGAAGGGCGCGATGGCTGGAGCATTAGGGAGTCCGTCGCTACTTGTCATGGCGTTGGAAGTCTTGGTAGTAGGGCATGCAGGGACTTGCTGCACGGCTCACGGTTTGGCTTGCGTCTCATATGCAGCTCGCAGCTTCGCTCGCGCAAGAGGGTGGAGGTGCGCCGGTCCGATGCTGCATGTACGTGCAGCACTCATGCTCGGTGATCTGCGTTCTATGTATTTCGCGCATCAAAACACAGTCAGTTGACTGTGATCTGGAAATAAGAAGAACGAACTCCCCTCCCTGAGCTGTGACCGGATTGCGAGCTAAATCCAATTCATCGACGCTGACGCTTGCTAGCTTTTGATCTTGACAGGTCCCCACTCACGCTACTTGTGTCGCCTGTTAACCGTAGCATCCAGTAAACTTTGGGCTGGCGTTCAACAGCCTGTAGGGCTATCACCATACCTGCAGCGGCTGGGAGACATTTCCATAGACCTATCGCAGGGGGGCAACTGTAACGCTCACAACGATGACAATCAGGTAGCTTAAGAAGAGATGTGCTGCTTCAGAAAGTATTCCAAGCATGTGGATCAATAGAGACACCCCAACGACAGCCATTCGAGCTGCTGAATCGCAAGTCTGGGTCACCGTACAGAGTAAAGACTTGACCAAGCGATTCAATGGCGATGCCAGCGCCTAATTTCCTTTGGTATCTCCAATGTTGGATGAAGAGATCGAGATCAATGTCAGTGTAGCTGGACTTGTGCCAGATCCACCTGCGCTTCTCAACAACGGCCATTCTAGTAGGATCCTTAGAGTCATTTTTCCGACCGCATGTGCGAGGCTTGCAGGAAAGAGTTTATCAAGGCTGAAACGCCCTTACAGGCACCTCCCGCCAGCTTGAATACTACTTAATTATAGTGTTGGCTTCCCGTATCACCGCCATAAATGAAAGGGAATTGGGGTCTTTTATCATCTGGACCCAGATCGGCTTTTCATAGGCTCTGTTGAAGACCTGAAGAGGAAATGGCGCCAGCAAGGCACGATGTACTTGATCCTTCTTGCAGGGACCACGCGAGCAGAAGCCCCACGCCGCACATCGTTAAGCTTTACCCTAACCTCACCCACACCTCGGCCACCGACGGCGAGTCGGCGACTAAATGGAACATGCTTTGTGCGTCGTCGATCACAGTTTATGGACGTTCATGACGTTCATCGATTCACTACCACCAGATGAAAGATCTTTCCAAAGGTCGCATCGTCATGATAATGATAATGACTTGCTTGATCGTTGAACGAGACTCGAATGTGACAGATACGGTCGATATTTGCTGAAAGGTCCGACCTTCCGGGATGAAGCTTGCGTGTGGTTCTTGCGCTACGGTGAAATGGATCCCCGCCTTTCTAAATCATATTCGGAACAAGATGATTCTTAGCGGATCCGTATAAACAAATCAAACGGCTACCCATACCAACCGACGAGGACCCTTGTCTCCTTTCAGCCATTTCAGATCCAAAGAGGTAAGGTGTCATGTATCGAATTGGGAATAGGTTAGAAGCGAACGGTATTTATTTTCTTCCGAGATACCAAGCATGCGTCGATCCTGCCTGAAGCGCAGCGAGATGACGCCACAAGTCTTCCAATTTATCGGGCAGATCCATGCACATAATGAGTTCAGTATCAAATCAATTATTGACCGAAACGCCAAAATATTGTCATGGCGCAACCTACACTTTCACCCATATCCCTCTTCTTCTCATCTAACTACCTTACTCCTACCATCCATCAATCATATTCTTACCGTTGCCCATTCATTCTTCCCATGGGTCTTCTTCCACATCTCTTCTTCTTCTTCTTCTTCTAGCACGACTGTGTCGCCCCCAATCTTCCCTTATCCGAAACATCATCCGCCGCAGGTCGTGCCGGAACAATAGTAATCATGCCTTCCACCAGATCAAGGTCCTATTCGTCACTGCGACAACGATCAATGGAACGTGGCAATAAACTTACCAAGAGCATGTCTGCTGCGGCCAGCAGAAACACATCTCCCTCACCCTCTCCATCTCCAATCACCGCAAATCGACGGGTAGCCAAATTAAACCTCTACCTTCAAAGATCCGCTAAAGCCTCAACCGAACAGCTGCATCGTGGAGCCGATGCGACCTCCGTCTCTCCCAAATCTACATTCATCAAGAGATGGGATGGCAATCGAAGGACGACCGCCAAGTGGGATTCTCTACGCAGGGTAGGCAGAGATGCGATCGGCGTCGGAAGAATCCACCCGTTAATGTTTTTCAGGATTCCGAGCTTTGGCTTCCGAACGGCGACTGTCTTGTCCACTTCAACGAACGAGGCCAGTCCAGGCGAGGGCCTTCTTTGAGACTCTCCCTCGCAGAAATCGAGTCCAGCGACTGCCGACCCCTTATTGAGCGTTGCTACGCCCCCTTCGTCCCAGGAACCCCACCTGTATCTTCATCAGACTCCGACAAATTCTCCGACTCTTCGGAGGAGGTCAAGTTCGGATCAGCAGTTCCACAGCATGAGCTATACATCCCAGCCCCGACACACTTGAGCAGGGAAGAAGCTTTCCAGTACCATCTGACAACACGGAACTTCTTCGCGTGGATGTATGGAAAACCTTTGGTCGGTGGTCGTTTTGGAGATGCTATGCTTGCCCTTTTTGGCCGAATGCAAGAGTTCCGGTCCTCCAACGAAGATGACAATCGATACGACATCCTCGAATACATTGACAGCCAGGGATACACAGACTTCCGTGATTGCCCGGATCACGCTCTGGCTACCCTCCAACTCGCCGAGAGATTGCAAGACCGTGACCTGTGGACCGATGCGTTTGTACACTGCGCAGGCATGTGGGAGCACTTGGATGAGAGTGTAGAATTTGAGGTAAGTCGATGAGCACTGATTCGACTACCCCCGAACTATTCTGACATTGGTGTCCAGTATGTTTCACGCACATCACAGGCTCTCATATCAAGAGCCCATCTGGAAATGGATCTACGACTGGAACGTGCTGGGTCATCGTTGGGTAACTTTTTGGAGAATGATCTAAGTGGCGCGCTCGGGTTAGGAAAGGAAGCTCAATTGCATCTGGAACGATTCAGGTCTTTCTTACACACGTTCTATGTTGGGCAGCACGGATACTGGCCACCAACTCCACTGGATGGCAGTAGCTGTGGATTGCCAAAAGAAGTCTATCGCTCGATGTACTCCGACTTTCGGAATCTGTACGAATATCTGTGCGACCCTACTTCGGGAACCTCAATCCAAGACAACAAGCCCGTCGACGGCGGAATTTGTGTCTACCAGAACGTTGTGGCTTTCGACAAGAGGCACAAATATACCGCGCTTCCACATCCGCTTCCTTTGGTACCAAAGGTTCCTGCTCCTGTGAAAAATCGTTCAACGTTTGGCAGGATGTTTGGCGGCAAGCGAGCCAACACCGAAAGGCGGCTTTCAGCTTCCGATGCTCTCTGTGCTGCCTCCAATCCTTACGATGATGGCGTCATGAAATGTGGTCTTGTCCGTGGATATCTGCGCTTCGAGAAAGAGTGGACCATGCTGGAGCAGTCAACGGTTTCCTGCGCAGATGCGCGAAAGGTTCGCTGGATATTGGTGTACGCAATCCTGCAAATTCTCATCTCAGTCACCCAGGCGCCGCAAGAAGTCAAAGACACAGAAGGGGTTTCATATCCATTGTGCTGTCAGATTGGTGGCACGCCGCCTTGGAAGACTGGCGAGAAGAAGTCAACGAGGCCAGCATTGGCACCTTTCAAGACCGCTTCGCTTAGGGAGAGGCTTCTCGCGCTTGGACCTGATATGGACATCCTTTCCGCCAAGCCAGCCCCTCTCGTGGTGCCACTAAAGAGCAGCAAGAGGTCGTCTTGGACGCCGTCTACCCCACGGAAACATTCCGTCGTCCACAACATCCCCCTCAACTCACCCAAGCCAATCAGGACAGCATCGTGGGAGATTCTCAACCAGAAATTCGGTGATGTCAGCCCAATCGACTACACCAATAGCCCAATACAACATGGTGATGCCGGTACTATTCAACAGATTGGCAGCCACCGATCGAACCCAACCACTCCGTCAACAAGTGAGAACGGATCAGGCCGGGACGGATGGAGTGCAAACTCCAGTGATGACGAAATGGACCATCACAGCGTCAATGGCGGTGACAGTAATTACGGGGACGATGAGGACGAGGAGCTTCACGCTACAGGAAAGTCTTCCAAGACCCCATCCATGAAAAGGCACTCCTTTGGGAGCTTTCGACCGGCTACCTGCAACCCGGAAGTGGATCAGTACATTCGATCTTGAGGCAGATCGATCATTTTTATTTTTGGACTCTCGATGAGCTACGGCTGGATTTTGTCAGGCTTAGCTGCCTTCAAAAAGCTTTTTTCTCACTTTCATGATATCCCATGTAGCGTCGATATATAGTACCACATCTCGATAATCTTAATCAGATATATCCACTAAATCTCAATCAAACACGTAGTCTTCTCTGTCCAATTACAAGTTGCTCCTCCCTCCCACAACACCAGTCACCTAATGCGACTCGCAACTCGAACCCTTTCTCCCCCTGAGCCGTCCCTCAAGTGGCCCTTTTCCCACCGATCACCGGTCACTGGTCATAGATACAGCATGTGGCTCCTCCTCGCATCGCGTCGGCGTTGCCAGCCAGATCCTTTCCGCCAAGGAAGCAGCCTAAGAGAAGAGAACGGAGAGTACAACCATACCAGACGAGCATAAACACAAGGATCCCTCAGAGACAGAACGCTACAAAAGCCGCCGGCGCCAAAGGTCGGTAGGTGTTTCCAGCCCGAAGGGATTATCTATCTGTTTGGAAGGTCAGCGCCCTCTTCCAAGTCTCTGGACCCGTCATCACGGTCCAACACGGGTTGCCATGTTGAAACGTCACCACCCGATCCTGAATTGGATGCTTGATTAAAAGGTTCCAGCGGACGGAGGAGCCGCACGTCACATGTCCCGTGTTAGAAGCAGATTTTGCGTTCCTCTCCGCCCGCCGGGGCAGTCGTAGACGGGGGACGAGGAGATTCGTGTTCGGAGTGTGTTCCGCATTGGATCGAGATTGGGGTTCTCTTCCTTGCCGGGTTGAGGGGCTTCATGTTCCCGCGTGGGATTGTGATTGGCCGTCTAGGTCCTTGAATAGCGGCCCTGGTGATGCCGATCTCTGTTTGGAGCGCATGGAGAGAGGGTGTGTGAGGGGGGGAGGGGGGAGGGATCGCTCCGAGAGCAAAGGGATCCTTCTAAAGCACCGTAGGCGTTTCGAAAGACGTCCCATGGTCTGATCAAGAAGCGGATGTTGATGTGGTCCGACGGGACGCCCTCCAAGACTTCGAGGACCTCTGTATGATATCCCCATCGGATGCATCCGGTCCATCGATGTACAAGCAGAGCCGTATTGAATCCAGATATCTGCATTCTCAGGCGTTTGAGTCCGTCCATCACATCAGCTCTTGTCCCGGGAAAGGGACGAAGGAGTGGCTTTTCGCCCGCCCGTATGCCAAGTGCCTCCCGCGCCTTCTCATTGTTGGCGAGGAACTTCATGCGGGTTGGTTCCCCGGACGCAGCTTTCCCACCGTCCCGGTATATACCATTGCTCGCTTTTAAAAATGGCGGCGTGGAAACCTCTGCGAGCTCGGCGGGATGTACGTTTGCGAACAGTCGTTCGAAAGTTGTCGGATAAGCCTATACTATACGTCTCGGCCCGTCAGAAATCGTTTCGAATCGAAGACTTTCGATTATCTTCAGCTGTTTCAGAAATATATCGCCCTCAATGGCTAGGGCCGAAAGCTGCAATGTCAGATGGGCATCACGTCCATAGGTTCCTCGGAAAGTGACTCGTTCAGAGAGTGTTTGGGATTGTGTAGAGACCAGAGGAGTCAAGCTATCTAGTGAGGCCATGATTTGCCTCTTCAATTGGGCCGCGTGGTTCTCACTGAGAACCTCAAGGCGAAGGTGACTCTCAATGAGTGTATTCGGAGCAATCACAACCTTCGCTTGTTCTTCTCTTTGGGAGGACATTGGTACCCATCTAGATTGCACGGTCCACACGTACCTTAGGGAGTTACAAAGACGAAGTGCAAATTTCCGACCGTAGATTTGTTATGCTTTTTTTTATAATACGTGATCTCTTTCCCCTTCCACACAGCCTTTACAGCTAGGCGGAAGCTCTGCCATTTCTTACGGGGACTTTCCGCCTTCAACTCATGCAATACAGACCAAAGTTCCTCTACAAAGTTTTTACGAGATAAGGTGAGAGGTAATCAGATCGAGCTCCGGTTTGGACGCCACTTGCTCATCGATTGGGTCATCGGGTTGCTCCAGACCTGCGCAGATTCCGATGAGGTCATGCATGGTAGACTCCAATTCCCCGTTGGTAGATATGCCATCAGGACTGTAGAGCTCGAAGCTAGCCGAGACGACCCAGGTACCAAAGTCTACGAAATGGATGACATTGCGGGCCAGGCTCAGTGCAGAGAAAGGATCCATGGCGACTGTTGCGCCCTGCGGTCAAGCTCATGTATCTGCTGTTGTTGCAACGTGGGAAGCCTCAGCCGGAAGGAAATCCTCAGAAGTGCGCTTGCCGGAAACCTTCGAGGCTCTCTTTCCCGACTCGAGCGGTGAGGTTTGGGTGTGTGCCGATTTTCTGACTCCTGTGAATGCGTAGACTCTTCTATAAAGGACAAAGACATGAAGTCCGTGGCGCGATTGAAGCCGCAGTCTTGACCGCAATTGCGTCAGCCTCCACCACAAATGCGGCCATTTGTCAGCACTTGAGCCTTTGTTGGTTGTCATTGGCTCAAGCTCTTTCGAGGGTGGTAGTACCCGGTACAATCAGTACTAAAAGTCCGTATCAGCTGCGCATAAGCGAGTGCCCAGAGTAATGAGTGTGTTGGGGCGGAGACTGCCAAGTAATCACCGGCTTTGACGGCCTGCATGAGCGGACCTAGACCACGCAACATGCCATGTCGATCAGGCAATCGAATGAAAGATGTATGGTCGTAGGATACTTCGACTTAGTTATCATCTCATGTACTCTGACTTGCGTGTTAACGTACTCTACCCCCACCACTACCGCAATCTGGGAAACCCTGGGCTTTGCAGGCTTTGTTGTAAGAGGATCGAGCAGAAGCCATGCGTAGAAGTAACCTCGGGTTTTCTGGATCTCGATGGGCACTCTTCCAGAAAAGGTGGCCTTTGTAACCAACCGAACCGTAAACAATCGAGCAGTGAAGGAAATCCCATTTTCTATTTCAAACAACCATGATTCTCACAATCTTGAGATGACAGCCTTGTTTTCGGCTGGAAGGGAGGAAGCCTTTAGGACATCTTTTTCCCTCTTTGCAACTTGCTTGACCGTATACTTGGAATTTTTCGACTTCCATCTGAGTGAGGGATCTGAGATACTCGAGCTTCTCGCCCGCCTAATACCTCCTCCTATGCATGACTTCTGCTCGATCCTCTCAGATGACGCCGCTGACATTAAGTTCGATGACTATTTTGCCTGCTCATTTTCATGCCGTTCAACATGTTTCTAGATATGCCCGCTGTCAAGGAACTCCTTTATCTGAGCAATCTTTCCCTGTGAGTTGAACCGTACCAAGTCCACACTTCCACGTGGTAGGGTTTGTCTGGAAAGAAATCACGGCGTACGAGTTAGGAAATACATTCTCGGAGGAGTAGGAAAGACGTGATGGTAAAGCCACACCGCACGAGCACGAGCATAAGCAAAGAGCAAATATATATTGCCGAATGTAAATCTGGTGCAAGCGAGGGTTTTCCGCATGTGCTGTTGGTCATTGGAAGGGATCGCATCCTCAAAGGACACTTTTCACAACTGGTCGAGTCTCTCTCTTTGAATTCTGCCTCGAAGCCATTGTTCAAGAGCACTTAACACCCAGAGTGAGGTGCTTGGACACCCTAGTCACCTGGATGCCCTAAAAGCGGCAGCTGCTGGACTGCTGGCTCGGGAGCGTCCGAGTGGACTGAGCAGGGGTGCCGGTTTCCTTTTTTTGCCAAGACTCTCGGAGATACTGCGAGTGAATACTAATCACCGTGGTACTGGAAAATCGACCGAGAGTAGTTAACTGGGTAAATCGTTCTTGTCTAATAGGATAACAGTGCTGAAAACAAGCGAATACTCCACCAAGACTCCCATAGCAACCGGAATTCCTCAAGGATCACCGCTGTCGCCTATACTTTACCTCTTCTACAACTTAGATCTTATTAATGAATGTAATAGTCGCGTCGACTTAGAACGGTAGTTACCGGCTTTATACGATATAGGCCTCTTAATAGTAGGAAACTCTATCGAGGAAAATTGTAACGCTCTCCGCAAAATCTATGATGAAGTATATATGAAGTGGGCGTTATATAGGATCAGTTTGATTCTAATAAATATTAATTGTTGACCTTAGTAGAAAATAGAATTTAGTTAGATTATCTCTTATAATTTAATAAGAGATAATATATTGGTGGTTTATTGTATCTGAAGTCGAATTAACTTTAAACTTTATAGAGCTATTATAATAAAGGATTTAATCTAAAACTATTAAAAGTATTATATATTGGAGAATTATTAAATCGATATAGAATAGTAATTATAAGAGTTAAGTAGCTCTATTAGGGATAATTATTTTATAAATAATATACTACTACTTAGTATAGTATTAGTCTAAAGATATTATCGACTATAATAAAACTTATCTCTTATTATTATAAAGAATTTAATCTTAGATAGAGAAAGATAATTAAAGTATTTAAGACTATATTTATTCTAGACTTAATATAGAAGTATATCTTCTATTAATTAAATAATAGTAGATAAGATTATCTTAAAGTTATCTTATAAATCGCTATTAGTCTAATATATAGGAGATTATTAAGCTATAATTCGAGCGATAAAGTTTAAAGAAAATTTAAGAAGAATAGAAAACTAAGTTTACTAAAGCGATATATTAATAGATTCGAAGAATAATATAGCGATATTAATAAGATTAAGAAAATACGTCTTTTAGCGTCGCTTTCGATTAAGAGCCTTCTAAAATAATAATTTATAAGACTAAGAAAGCCGTTAAAGAACTGTTAAGATCGATTAATAAGAATTATATAATAATATATATAGATAATAGCGGGATTAATAAAAGATGAGTTTAGTATATCGTTAGATATTAATTTACTTTTAGTATTTATTTAAGCTTAGCGACTAGTATACAATATACTTAATAAATTATACGTATTCTTTAGCTTTAACTATAATAGTTATATATTAAATAAGATTATAACTTAGTAGAGTTATAGTAAATATAATAATTAAATATCGATTTAAATTATTAAGACTTAATAAGTATTTAAAGTAGATTTATATAATATAGATAGTATAGATTATTAATTCGCTAAGATATCTCGAGATAGTAATAGAATTATATTAAATTTCGACGTATATTAATATCGATAATAATAAATAGGCGAATAGAGGCGAAGAAGATTACTAGTTAGCGAGAGTAGTAATCTATAATAAAAGAGTAAAGGTAAATACTAATAAAATAGTTTAATTATTAATTATATAAATAAGAATAATATCGACGATTAAGATAGCTATTAGAACTACGCGATAAAATAATAAACTATCGAATAGGCTAACGGAAGCGAGGGGATTCTTAGAAGAATTTAATTAACATTGTCGAAATAAATATAACTTCTATATTTAGAGTTAAGCGCGCTAAGACGTCGCTAATAACGTAAATAAGAATCGAGAAAATAGATCTTAAGATCTTTCTTTATAATCGATAGATATTAAATATAGAGAATAAAGAATATAAGTGTAGCGAAGTAGACGACTCGTATATCTTTATAAATATAGACTATTTAGTAAGAAGCGAGGAATATAATAGATCGAAGAAGAAGAAGATAAAAGAGAGTTATTACTTATAAGGATATGTTAATAAACTACGCTACGCCTCTATGGGCGGACTTTATAAGGAGTATTAAGCTTATTAGTAATATTAAGCTCTTAATAAAGACTATAATAAGGATTTACTAGGGTAGACGGTTAAAAGAAGGATACGGTTAAACGGGAGGGCCTTAGCGATTAGGGTACCCTTTCTAAGGATCATATAGCAATATGAACCATGACGGTACTTTATAGCCTCATTTATTTGAGACTATATGATTGGCCGAAGGATCAGATAGATTACGTAACTCGCATAGTCGGCCACTAGGGCAAGACTTCGGTATATGATGTAATCATACTAATCACCGTGGTACTGGACCGAGGTAGCCAACAACATGATCGAACGGAGACCTGGAGTTTCGAGTCATAGAGATACCTCATGTAGGCTTTACAATGTCCATTGGTCACATCCTCCCAATCGAGCAGCCTTCGTCTTACAACCTCCCAGCAACATGGAGCACCATTGCCCAGTCTCTAGAATAGCTCTCATTATACCCCATTGACGAACATTGACCACTGACCCGGTCACTGGTCGGCACGCCAGGCAGGTATTCATCAATGACATACCCGCAGAAAATCGCTCTTGTGGTAGGAGCTTCTCGAGGGATAGGCCGACAGATCGCCATTGACCTCGCGAAGAACAACTACAAAGGCAGGCCATCTAACCCACATATACATCGACGTTTACAGAAAAGAAGCTAGCTAACACCACTCAGTGGTCGTCGCCGCCAAAACCGTCTCAGACCCTTCCCCCTCCTCCCCCTTCCCACCAGACTCCAACTCACCCTCCTCAACCATCAACACCGTAGCCCAAGAAATCACGTCCCTCGGCTACACCGCCACCGCCATCCCCGTTGATACCAGATCCTATTCCAGCATACAGTCCCTGGTCGACCAAACCATAAAGCACTATAAGCGCCTGGACGTGTTGATATACAATTCTGGTGCTATATGGTGGGCATCCGTGGAAAATACGCCTATGAAGCGGTTCCAGCTCATGCAAAAGGTCAATGCGGAGGGACTTTATGGATGTGTGCAGGCTTGTCTACCTTGTTTTGCGGAGAGTGAATGGCAGGGAAGGATTGTGGTTGTTTGTCCGCCGATATACGAGAGGTTTTTCAGGGGAAAGACTGCGTATGCTATGGGGAAGGTTGGGATGAGTGTACTGGTTAAGGGGCTGGTAAGTCAAAATTTGGAGTCCTCCAATTTTCATTAAGCTGGACAGTACGATCGTTCCCAATTGCCATCTCAAAATCAACTCGTCAAGCTACTTTCTGTCTATTCGGAATGATTGCTGAATTCCAATATTCTGCAGGCCATGGATTTCAAAAGGGAGGGAAAGACTGGAATGGCTGTGACGGGTATCTGGCCTGCTTCTGTGAGCCCAACAGCATCTCTTCCCTCTCCTCCACCCTGTCACCCGCTGTCGTGAGGTTCCGGGGCGGAAAGCAGGGTCCTGACCGCTTCTTTACTAGGCGATTGAATCCGCGGCTACTGCTCAAATCACAGCCAGAGATGCCTCCGAGGCGAAAGACCTTCGGAAGCCGGTATGTATCTAAGTGTGCATCACAGTCTCCCCGCCAGCTATTCTAATATACTCCATAGACCATCTTCTCAGACGCAATCCTCGCCATGCTCAACGCTCCAACATCAACCGTCAACGGACTGCTCGACCTCGACGAAGACTTCCTCCGCATACATCTCGGCGTCGAAGATTTTTCGAAGTATTCAGTCGTCGAAGGCGCTACACCGCGGAGGATAATGCCCAAACGGTTTCCAGATCTCCGGGTCGATGAGCATGATGACGAGGGTAAAAGGGTGGACAGTGCGCAGCTTAGAGAGGGCAAGCTTTGAGCTATGGATGAATGGACAAAGTCAGCCGATCCATTCCATCCTTGAGCTGCCCGGTCAATATAGGAAGGGAAATTCCAGGGACCAAGCGCTTCTTCCAGCCCTTCCCCCAACACCACGCGCCCTACGACAAGAATCACGAACCCCCTCTGCCACCTCCACAACTCCCACAAGCGGTTCTTGCATTGCAATCGTGACGACTTTTCGAAACAATCGGTGCTACGCTAGGAGCTGTGAAGCGGAAGCGGTGGACGTGATGGTAACGAAGAGGCATTGGCAGCATTGAGTGTTGGTCTAGGCTTGAGAAACCTTTTAGTTTTAGCCAGCGTTGAAAGGGTAGTATTGAGAGGGTATGATACTATAGTGGAGGTCCGGCTTGGGAGGTGGAAAAGCTAAAGGGGGGGATACACTTATTGAATGTTGTGAGGAGAGACATTCACTCAGGCGGTTCATGAGAAAGAAAGAAGCAAGATTCGTTCCCCGCTACAAAAAACTCGTCATAATGTTCATCATCGAGAATTGTTTTCCATCATCACTTGGATAACAATTGCTTTCACAATCCCTATCTACTCATCCCTCTATCCACAGAACCTGTACAGCACGCAGAGCAACCACTTCTCTATCATCACAGATTCACAAACAATGCTGTACAGCGAAGCTCGCTTCAATCCTTGCCCGTATCCTCCTTCAAACTCACGATCCGATTCAACACCAATTTCCCAGCACTGCTCTCCTTATCCACGCAAAAGTAACCCATCCGCATTCCCTGGAACCTGACCGTCTCCGGCCTCGCAGCCACTTTTACAGAGTGCCCACCATTCGCCTCGACACTGCCTGGCGTTGTGCTCGCATCACTTTTCGCATGTTCTTCATACATCTTAGCTTCATCAGCGATCTCCTTCTCGCCCGCCTCAGCCGGCCACGGCGCCCTCCTTCTAATTTCCTCAATCCCCATCTCAATCATCGCATTGGGGAAGATCTCCTCGGAATCCGGGTTGATGTCCATCAAAAAGCCCTCCGGATGCGCAGCCGGGTTATCGGATTTGAAAAGCGGATTTATAACTCTAACTTCTGCTTTAATTGGACTGTCATGATCTGGGGGAGAAGCGACCCAGTGAATAAAACTTTTTGGTTTCTTTGGGGCGGAGCCATCGGCTGGTTTCTCGTAGGTGGCGTGGATAAGGGTTATCTCTCCGGTGGAGTGGTCTTTCTCGAAAGAGGTGGCTGTGATGGGGAAGGGAGCTTTCATCAAACCGACGGTTTTGCCTGGAGCGAGGCGGAAGTAGTCCGGTGAGTCCACTTCACGGAAATCGCTGCGTTCAATGTAGACAGTTTTGGTAAATGGGATCGTATGCACCCCCATAGCCGGGTCTTTCGAAAATGGCAAGTCGACCATCTCCAGATGATCGTCAGGCAAATTGTCAATAACCACCTTGACCGGATCAAGCACTAACATCAGGCGTGGAACGGTCACTTCCAGATACCGGCGCACGGAAGTCTCGAAGCGTTTCACTTCGATATTTGTAACTGCTTTAGTGACGCCTAGCTCATTCACGAAAGAAAGAATCGCACCGGGAGGAACACCACGGCGCCGGAGGGCAGGGAGGGTGTAGAGGCGAGGGTCATCGCGGGCTCGAACGTGTCTCTTTTTGACCAGTTCGTGGATTTTTCGTTTGGAAAGAATGGTGCCACTGACTGATAGGCGACCGTATCTGGTGGATCGCATTAGTCTTTACCCATAAATGGCAGACAAGAACTACACACTCTCTTTGCATTGGTCTGTAAACGTCCAACTCGTTATTGAGCCAATCGTACGACACCCTTGAAAGCTCGAATTCTGTTGTACACAGCGAATGCGTGATACCCTCGAAGCTGTCGCATAAACAATGCGTGAAATCATAAGTTGGGTAGATTTTCCACTTGTCGCCCGTACGATAATGTGGGCCGGCATATTGCACCTCATCGCTTTCTGCTCCGTTGGCCCCAGTCTCTCTTGGATCATTTTCGCGTAATTCTTCTTCGTCCTCTTCATCTTCCTCGTCTTTCTTCTTCGCAGGAATGCGATATGCAAACACATCCCACATTTGCGGATTACCATCTTCGAGATTCTGCTTCATTCGTAGAGCCGCCTCGCCAGGCTTGTACTTGCCATCCCGCATTGCTCTGAACTCGTACATACTCTCGGAAGTCGGACGACTACGGTGCGAGCAAGCATAGCGAGGCTTCTCTCCTTTCTTTCCGCCGCGTTGATCAACGATGTCGCTTTCTATAGTCCCTTCAGTATATACCTTGCCAAAGCAATTTGCTCGGAATCGACCCACTTGTGCAATGACAGACATATGCACCACCTTTCTCGATCAGAGCTTCAGCTAGCGCATATAGTCGATCGAAATTATCACTGGAGTGCGTGGTTTTAACCGGCTTGAAGCCCAGCCATCTCACAGTGTCTTCAATCGAGTCGTCATATTCTTTCTTCTCGCCCGCAGGATTTGTATCATCGAAGCGTAAATAGCATTCACCACCATGGTACTTTGCGAAGCCGAAGTTGATTGCAATTGCTTTGCTATGACCAATGTGGAGGAAGCCATTGGGCTCTGGGGGAACTAAGTAGGTAGGATTAATCAGCACCGACATGATAGACTTTCATGGGAGATCTTAGATAGACAACTGACAGCGCGTTATAACTTTGCTTATGCCCTCGGGTCCTACTGGCCTCTCTTGGTATACTTCGGAAAGGAACCCAACTTTGAACATGGATTCAGGATCTTCGACCGAGGGCTTGGCTGCCGTTTCCTTCTTCCCCTTTGGAGGCGTAGGGCCTTTGGGTGGTTTGGGGGTCTTGGGAGCCTTTTCTTTTCTAGCCTTGGGAGGTTTGCCGTTGTCTGCTGGCGCTTTAGGATTTGTGTTGCTATTGTCGGGCTCTACTTGAGCGTCTGGAAGGTCCCTCGCAGTAATCGAAGCCCCATGTCGCTCAGGTAGAGCTATTTCGTTCTCCATGTTATGCACTGGCGGACTGAGATTCATTTCTGGGCGGTTTGAGGTTCGGGAGAGTATTTGATGCCAGTCATTAAGAAGCATGACTCCATTGTCAATGGTCGCATGTAAACAAGCGCTAATGCCGAGGCTAAGCGCGGACCAATCGGGACCACGACTGTCGATGTACCGAAACTTCAAGGCCCTCGAGTCCTTTTCCTTGGCATACTGCTGCTTCTGAACTGTCAGAAGAAAGAGCTGAATGAATGATGGAGTAGTTTGTACATTACATTGCTCAGAAATGCTACGATCTATGCATGCATTCCCACAAAGGGCTATGCCTTTAAAACGCCACTTTTCCCATTATGCCTCCCAGTTCCAACAGCTCTCTGACATTCCATAACGCCAGAGCCTCCGGGTTTAGTAATACAAGTCCAAAGAGGCATTGTTCAATCCTCATTACTTCGCCGTCTCTTAGCTCTCCTACTCCTCCTAACACCATCGATAGCTTCAGGTGACAGAATATCCTCTGGTAAACCAAAGTCCTGGTCGACCAGTTCAGGCAATGGCTGTCCGAAGGCGAATCTCGCTCTCCCGCGTCGATGCTTCCCAATTGCCGCGTCTCGAAGGTACGGTTTGGAGTAGAAAGATGTGAACGGCTTCTGGAAAGGCGGCGTAGAGGGCGCTTTTGCACGGTGTGACCTCTTCCCGGATGGTGCTTTTGTAGCCGATGTAGGTTCTCTATGCAGTTGTATTGCAGCGGCTTCGGCACCGGGGTCATCGGGTGGATCATCATCGCTTTCGCCGTCCTCGTCAGACCCACCCTCCTCTTGATCTTCGTCTTCATCTAGCATCGATTCCTCCTTTTCCACTTTCCGCCGCTTCTCCTCCTCCTTCCATTCCCGAAACTTCTCAAGCAGTATTAGGACTTCCTTTATGAAATAGTCACGTTTGGGCTCATAGGCCTTCTTTTCACCATCCGTGATGCCACTGATACCCATGACTCGTAGCCAGTCGTGTCCTTTTAAGCCATCTAAGAGCCGCTCAAGCTGGACCTTTTCGTGCATTGCCCGTTCTTTCTCAATGTTGCGAAGCTGCTTTTCCTGCCTTTCTGCTCGCCGGTGGGCCTTCAGGTACACGACATCACTCATTTGATCCCGAGTGGAATTTCGCTTGTCCATGGCTGAGAGATCAATCCTCGTAGCGTCGTTGAGGGTGGTGAAGGTCTCTTCCGATAATGTAAACGCTTGGGAACAGCCATTGAACATGGTAGTATTCCCTTTGGAAGTCATTGGAAGGATGGTATTGGCATTCTTGAAGGTTGAAGCGGATGGTGCAGCTTTTGCGGGGTCGTCTGTGATGTGAATGAGGGTCTCCGGAGTCAGGAACTCTAGCAGTATGTATCAGTAAGTGGCACCGTCCTATGCATCTGGATCAATGGATGTCCTACCGGGTTCCTTTGGCTCAATGCTCACCAACTCATCGTAGTTGGGGAAGTACAATGCAAGCTCGCTCTTCGATCGCGAGCATCCATCATGCGACCTGAGACTTCTCCTGTCATTTTGGCTGGAGACGTATGTGGTATTGACGGTAAGGGTAGCATTGTTGTTGAAGGATTGTGCATTTTGTATTGCGGTATTGGTGCCATTGATGGGTTGCGGAGGATCTGGCTTGCGCGACCTCCCCACCTGTGTCAGGGCATCTTGCGTTGCGGACCTGTCGCGAATTGGGAGTGACTTGGATGCATATGTTTTGGAGACATCTCTTGAACGTGTAGGATCTGGCAGTCCCAATCTCAGCCTCTTGACAGAAGTGTTGCTGTGACTGGCGAGTGATGAGTCGCGGGTGCGCTTTCCGCGTCGTGAATTGGCCAGCGGGTTTTGGTCGGCATGAGTCGGAGGTACTTCATTGAGGATTGTATTGTTGCGATTGGACGAGCGGAGGGAGGGCCTGGATGGAAGGGCGGCCATGATGTTCGGAGGGATAGAATCTCATTTTTCTGTTCTTAGTAGTCTATTTGTGCAATTTGAGGAAGATCAATCATCGCGACGATGAAATTTGAAGGGAGTCAAAAGTAGTTCGCGATCCCTTAAAGTTTGAGAATCGGCTTCAGAGAGACCCCACCGCAACAACGGCAGCGTCACTACTCCGCAAAGCCACAAATAATAATAGTGTGTCATGATTTCCTTGATTCCGAGATGCGCTACAGGTGTTTGTAATCCGGAGGAAACATTTTAGAGCGTCGTTGAATGGCTAGGTACATGAGGAACGCATGTTTAAATACTGCAGTCCAAGGCTCTTTGAATCCCCCACATTACCATCACCTGACGACTTTAATATTTTCCTTGTCGTCTCGGAGTCTCGAAGCCGTTACAGTCTATCACTTGTGCAGCATTCTGCCCCCGCCATCTCACGCACCCCAAATATGATGACCTGAAGTCCCAGGGATCATCTCACGAGCTTACCAACGTCTGCTTCCGAGAGGAAGTATCGATCAGTCATTCACTATGCCCGAGATGTGTGGGACGTAATGAACTGGCCTTGAAAAACGGATTCGAGGTATACTAGGTACTCGAAAAACCGATGTGCGCAAGCTGAGCTCTTCTCTGGCTTATTGGCTCCCGTCGCCGTTTCCTGCGGCGTGATTGAATGATAGCCCCAATATATTCTCTACGTCCTGCGGCTGAGAGGTGGATACAATTCTAGCTACGATGCATCGAGCGGATGCTTCGCGGCCCATAGACTACCTTATTATTGGGTTGGGAGGATCACTACGATCAAGTTCAATCTGTACTTTGTAAGGCATCTAGCCACAGAAGTCTTTGCTTTACACGTAGGTAAGGCGTCAGTGCTGACGGGAGCCTTCCCATTGGTGCCATCCTCGGAAGACCAACGAGAATCATCTCGGGTCTCCTCGGTCAAGCACGTATTCATCTATTCGTCTTCATTATAAAGACTGTCAACCCTTCACTCCTGTCTTATTTGATGTAATAGCCACATCCAATTCGGCACAGAGTCCTCAAAGTTCCAAGTCTTGTCCCTTCTATCATGGCTTTCCTGTTCGGCGTTCCCTGGATGGTTCTTGTGGCCTCCATTGTTTCTGTACGACAGTCCCACTCATTCGCTGCCTTTCTCTTCTCTGTTGCTAACACGGTAGTTGAACTGTAGTACGCGATCTATCTTGCTAGCGTGGTGATCTACAACATCTTCTTTCACCCTCTCAGACATTTCCCTGGACAGATCTTCTGGACCTCGAGTCGTGTCCCATGGGCATGGAACACGTTCTTCGGACAGATGCCCTTTGCTGTCTCCAAACTCCATGCACGCTATGGCAATGTTGTCCGTATTGCCCCGGATGAATTGTCATTGATTGATCCTTCGGCATGGAAGGACATTATGGCAGCCCACAAGGAAAGGCCACTCATGCAGAAAGATCGTTGGTACACCGTGAATCTCTCACTGAAACCTGCATGCTGACAGGGAGTTCAGCCGCCGCATTCACCAGAGCCGCCGTTGTGGAGAATATCCTTACCGTCAAGAGCGACGTCGAGCATAGTCGAATGCGACGAGTACTTACGCACGCCTTTTCTGAAAAGGCTATGAGAGAACAAGAGCCTCTCATCCAAGAATACGTCGATTTATTAATGAATTCATTGCACGAAACCGCAGAGGAAGGCCCACAGAACATGGTTTCCTGGTACAATTTCGTTGCTTTTGACATCATTGGTATGCAACAAGTCATCTCCAGTTGACACCAATTAATCTGAATAGGTGATCTCACCTTTGGCCAGTCTTTGAAATGCATCAGAAAGGGAAACAGCCAATGGATAACCTTTATGAACGTCATCTTCAAGACTGGCAGAAGAGTGTCAGTTTTCAGATACTTTCCGCATTTGACTCCCATTATGATGCCCCTTATGCGACGATCGAAGATTTATAAGTCGAGCATGAGGAGCTTTGAAAACACCAGAGCTATGGTGTCAAAGAGAATGGCCACTAAAACAGACCGTAAAGATTTCATGTCCTATGCTTTTCGCGCGATGGAGAGGGGCGATCCTAGTATGATGATGTCGAAGGAGGAGATGATGGTTACCTTCGAGGTGCTTATGGTTGCTGGAAGTGAGACTACGGCAACACTACTAAGCGGCGTGACCTTTCAACTCCTCAAAAATCCCGACGTCTTACACAAGTTGGTGGCCGAAATCCGAAGCACATTCGCCCACAGTCATGAAATCACCATGGTCAGCGTAAACAATCTGAAGTACCAACTCGCAGTCCTAGACGAGGCGCTCAGGATCATGCCACCCGTCGCGACTGCCTTGGTACGGCTCGTGCCATCTGGTGCGGGAGAGGTCGTGGGTGGCCACTTCGTGCCCGGGGGCACGAGAGTTGGTATTCCACCATGGGCCGCTTCTCGATCTCCGCTCAATTTTCGAGATTCAGAGTCTTTCGTTCCGGAGCGCTGGCTGGGAGATGTTCGATACGCAGGAGACCGACGGGAAGCTTCACAGCCGTTCAATATCGGGCCTCGCGGGTGCATCGGACGAAACCTTGCGTACGCCGAGATGCGCATCATACTCGCCCGAGTGCTTTTTGAGTTTGATCTGGAGCTCATGGAGTCGAGTAATTCGTGGTTGGAGGATCTCAAGAATTTCACCTTGTGGCAGAAGGATCCGTTGATGGTGCGATTGAGGCCTGTGGTCAGGGGTTAGAGAGCTGGCGCATGTGCACCACTAATGTCCTGGAGAATACTATGAAGGCTAGGAGCGTGATGTACTGACGTAGGCGAGCATGGGAACGTTAGGCGAGCATGGGAACGTAAATAGGTAGTCAGCACGACCACTAGCGTCAGATTCAGCGTCTTCAAACCTATTATATTCCTGAGCATTTGTTTACCAGGGTTCAAGGTCGACGGGGCGAAAAACCTCAAGTAGGTGTAGCGCTTCACCGCGTTGTGGTGACGAGGCAGATCATAGCGAAATTCTCTGTGCGGAGTGCGGGTTCTTGCAGGATGTGGAAATGAGGAGATGGTGTACAACAGTATTGCCATGAGACGTCAGGCGTCTTTCGCATACCCTAGACCAAGATTACCAAATACGTTAAGGCGATTATATACAAAGACCGTGTCCATATAAATTCTAGGCTTCTGCCATGTACGCTTTCCTTCGATTGTTAGACTCGTTAGTCAGGCTTCTCCCATACATACCATCCTTTCATCATTAGGTGCATGGCACAGCCCAAACCGTCCACGTGAGAGCCTATGTTCAGCTAAAGATGAATTCCTTCGTCACGGGCGCACTCGATAAATCCGGATTGAGCAGGACACAGCTGCAGATCCATCAGTCATTGATCAGAGATAGCACATGAGGAAAACACATACTTCAAGAAGTATGCCAGCCCAGTCCTCCTTTTCTCCAGGAAGGAAGGGCGGAATTTATCTTCCAAATTGTCAGCACAATAGAAGGAACTGGAAATGAGGTTGGAGCTCACAGAAAAGGCTCTTCGGGGGCAACGGTGGCATGGCACCGCCAGAATTAGGGAAAGTCATCAAGAGCTTGCGTCGCAGATCATCGAACTCGGAATATCTGTTGATTTTAGCATACGAGACTCTTCAGGGAGTCAGATTGGCAGTGACCTTTTTCTAATTACGATGGACCCGCCCTTGGGAGCCGTTAGTATGACGAAAGGACTCATAAAGCATACGAGCTGAGAAAACAATAGGACGGCTTATGTGGCAGGGTAATCAGACTGACATCGAGCGTCTCAATCTTGCAATTCCAAACCACAAAGTTCCCAACATTAGGCACGGTTCCGCTCACGAGTACGTAATCGTCAATAGTGACGCCCTCGGCCCACACGGCACCGCTCTGCTCGGAAGGTTCCTCGGTGTGGTCTTCCAAAGTGATGGGAGGCGGCTTGGTGTTCTTAACGGAAGAGTAGGATTCATAACGACGGTGAGACCAGTATGGCGGGACCAAGGACGGAGGTGATTCTGCCCCACTTATTTCCTCCCGGGGCTGGCCGTTGGAGCTGTCATGATTCTGTGCCGAAGGTCTGGAATGCGAGCTCTCCATCCATCAGATATATAAATCGAATATCGATGTGACCTTCTAATATTTATGATTAATTTTGATATGCACGCAAGAACGCTCAAAAGTGGTGGCACGCCTTGACCTCGTATTTGACGACTGCAGGTGACCCCGAGCCATGCATTGGGTAAAGGTCCTTGCCAAATATAGCACACCAGACCAAGAACGGGTAGTTCCCGCGGCTAATTCGACGGCTCCTGCAAGCCAGATTCTCGGACTTTCGTCTATCGATAAGTAAATGGGTGCAAGTCGCAGGGTAGCTCCAGTCTCCACAATCGAAGGCAGGAAGCATCCACTTATTTTCGGCCGCCCTTTTTTTTCTTCAACTCCTTCCCATATTCTTCATCTTTTTCTTCATCATCACTCGCTTATCATAAACACATTCACAGAGGCAGCATCATTCGTTTCATACTACACGTTCGCTGCACTTGTATTTACACTACTTTCACTTCTTGAACCGAGACGATAGTACAGAAAGAGGCTGGTGAGTGAGCCATCCATGCATCTCGGGCCCACTCTTGCGCAATCTCCCGCACTCAACGCTCAACAGCTGACAGTCACATATCCCAAACAGTCTGTCAGACAAGAGAAGTGATCACATCGAAATCATCAAAGTCAAGATGCTTTTCAACACATTCGTTACCGTTGCCATCACAGGCCTCGCCCAGCTTGCTGCCTCCCAGTCTATCGACCCCAGCACTGTAACCGACGCAACCAAAGGTAAGATCTTGCTCCGAGGGATGGTGTTAATCATAGTCTGATAATGTACAGACCAATGGTGTACTGACCAGAAGAGTGCCTGCCCACTCATTTGCTTGCAACTTCCAGGAACATCGGGCCAACCAAAGGCAAATACCTGCGATCCGGTGAGTTGTCCTGCGGTTGTCGTTGTCGTATACCCGTACTGATCAATGACACAGACCTCCTTAGCCTACTCTTGCATCTGCAGCAACGGCCAACAACCAAACTCGAGTCAATACTCCCAGACTATCCCCTACTACGAATGTACCCAATCAGCCACCGACTGTGTCAACAAATGTGAACAAACAGACACATCTTGCCAGAGTGCTTGCCGCTCAGACAACCCTTGCGGTGCGCAGCATCCCATACGGTTGAATACTTCCACAATCTCGACCATGGCGGCCACGACCACTTCTGGTGGAGGCGTGGCCAGCAGTGCAAGCAATTCCGCTAGCAACACATTCACTGGCTTTGGAGGGTCATCCACCGCGTCAAGCAAGAGTGTTGCTCCTGCCCGTATCCAGGGCCTTGCTCTCGGTCTTGGTGGCAAATACGGTCTCCTTGTTGTCCTCGGTGGTATGATGGGCGGATTCATGTTTATGCTTTGATGGCCAAACGTCTCGAGCATTGAGAATTTCCGGGGATGTACACCTTGATTGGTACCATATCAACCCTCGGACACCCTCTTTTTACTAGAGACGGAGCATTTGCGACTTTCTCTGGCTCTTCGATTTGTGTTCATGAATATCATCTTCTAGCATAGCGTTGCGAAGCATCGGTCCTTACTGCATGGCGGATTCGGAATCCAGCACTTTCTTGAGTGTTTGGATAAAAGCATGGGAGGTGGTCTGGTCATCTGATAATGTTGTCTTCCAGATGTCAGACCTCTCTTTTCCTGTCCTTTCTGATAGCGCATTAGCGAGCGTCTTTTTAGCGGCATTAAAGGACTAATGAAAAAGCTTTGGTGGTTTGGACGTTCATTCAGCCTTGTTCCAGAATATGCAAATGAGATCTGTGACTGCTAACCTGACTGTTTGTTGGTTTTCCCAGTCTATCACAGCATCCAACATGTAACAAGGAGTTGGCATACCATCTCCCTGCCATGCCTTAACGGCTACTCATCCTCTCTTCCCTCCAATTGTGTCACGGACGCAAGAATCTATCCTCATTCCTCGCCCGTCCGGAACCACTCACCCATCCAACGAGGAAAGCCTGCCTCTCCCCACATCATCTTCCCACCACCGCTCTCCCCAAATCTTCCGCTCCACCAGAACCATCCCCTCACCGCCCCACAATCCTCTCCTCCCTCCCCGTCCCCACCCCCGAAGCAGACCCCACCCCACTCCGCACCCGCGGCCGATCCCCCGGCAGCGGCTTCAGCTCATCGTTCGGATCCACCTTGCCGTCGCCGTCCGTCGGCTTCACGTTCTCCTGCCGGTTGTTGGTGGCGGCGCGGGCGTCGTCGTAGGCGGCGACGTCTTCGGTCGTGAGGGTTATGGTTGTGGGTTTGCGGCGGAGCATGGTGGGATCTGGGGGAAGGGGGGGGTTGGAGGGGAGGGTGGAGGGGTGAGGGGTGAGAGGTGAGAGAGGTGTTGGTACGAGTAGCGCGGCTTGGCAAGGTAAGAGGTAATAGGTAAGGTTGATTGATTGATTGATTGATTACATCATACTACCCTGAAGTCTTACCCTAGTGGCCGACTATACGAGTTACGTAATCTATCTGATCCTTTCGGCCAATTAAAAAAACCCAAATTCAAAAAAAAAAAAAAAAAAAAAATATAATTTTAAATTTATAAAATAAAAAAAAAAAAAAAAAAAAAAAAAAAAAAAAAAAAAACAAAAAATAATTTTAATTTAAAAAATATTATTTTTTTAAAAAAAAAAAAAAAAAAAAAAAAATATAAAAAAATAATAAAAAAAAAAAAATAAAAAAAAAAAAAAAAAAAATATAAAAAATTTCGTCGCTATAGAGGCGTAGCGTAGTTTTATTAATATATTCTTATAAATAATAATCCCCTCTTTTATCTTTCTTCTTTCTTCGATTTATTATATTTCTCGCTTTTTACTAACTAGTCTATATTTATAAAGAATATATCGAGCTATCTACTTCGCTTTATACTTATATTCTTTATTCTCTATATTTAATATCTATCGATTATAAAAAAAACCTTAAAATCTATTTTCTTAATTCTTATTTACGTTATTAGCGACGTCTTAGCGCGCTTAACTCTCGAATATAGAAGTTATATTTATTTCGACAATATTAATTAAATTCTTCTAAGAATATCGCCTCGCTTCTTATTAGTTTATTTAATAATTTATTATTCTATTACGTAGTTTTTAATAGCTATCTTAATTATTAATATTATTCTTATTTATATAACTAATAATTAAACTATTTTATTAGTATTTATCTTTACTCTTTTATTATAAACTACTTACTCTTATTAATTAATAATCTTCTTCATCTCTCTATTCGCCTATTTATTATCGTTAATATTAATATATATTAAAATCTAGTATAATTCTATTACTATCTCGAGATACCTTAGCGAATTAATAATCTATATTATTTATATTATATAGATCTATTTTAAATACTTATCTAAGTCTTCGATAGTCTAAATCGATATTTAATTATTTATATTTATTATAACTCTATTAAGTTATAATCTTATTTAATATATAACTATTATAGTTAAAGCTTAAAGAATATTATATAACTTTATTAAATATATCGTATATTAGTCGCTTAAGTCTAAATAGATATTAAAAATAAAATTAATATCTAACGATATAGTTAAAGCTTTTACTTTTTTATTAATTTCGCTATCGTCTATATATATTATTATATAACCCTTATTAATCGATCTTTTAATTAGTTCTTTAGCGGCTTTCTTAATCTTATAAATTATTATTTTAAAAGACTCTTAGTCGAAGGCGACGCTGAAAAAGCGTAGTTTCTTAATCTTATTAATATCGCTATATCGTTCTTCGAATCTATTAATATATCGCTTTAGTAAACTTAATTTTCTATTCTTTTTAAATTTTCTTTTAAACTTCTATCGCTTAAATCGTAACTTAATAATCTCGCTATATATTAAATTAATAGCGATTTATAAGATAGCTTTCGAGGTAATCTTATCTAGCTATTATTTAATTAATAAAAGATACGCTTTTATATCGAGTATTAAAATAGATATAATCTTAAATACTTTAATTATCTTTCTTTCTATCTAAGATTAAATCCTTTATAATAATAAGAGATAAGTTTTATTATAGTCGATAGTATCTTTAGACTAATATTATATTAAGTAATAATATATTATTTATAAGATAATTACCGCCTAATAGAGCTATCTTATACTCTTATAATTATTATCTTATATTAATCTAATAATCCTCGTTAATATACTAATACTTTTAATAGTCTTAGATTAAATTTTCTTATTATAATAGCTCTATCTGCAAATCTAAAAAGTTCCTTTTCGTACGATTTCCGCCGGGTCCGCACTATAAGCACGATTTAGTCTATTTAGTAGACTTTACCTATATTTAACTCTTTCCGCCGATTTAGCAACTATTCTAATTCTTTCTACTAGTTCTATTAGTTTAGCAACTTCAAAAATTTTTAATAACTTTAAAATTTTTACGTAATATACTTTAATATACTCTAAGTACTATTCTATATATATATAGTATTAATATATATTATTATTAATATACGCATTATTATACGCTATATTAGAGTATTACTTACGCGATTAATTTTATTAAATCATCTAATTTCGTAGTTAAATTTAAGTTAGCGTTAATACTCGTTACCGTAAAACCTTATCGTTATAACGTCGATTATTAAAACTTTTCTTTTTTTATATATATTACTATTAAACTAATAGAACTAGTAGAAAAGATTAGAATAGTTACTAAACCGGCGGAATTTAGATAGATTCTAATTAGATTTACTAAATCGATGGAATTTAGACGGATTCTAATTAGATTTGCTAATCCGACGGATTTTGTGATTTCCGCGACAAACGCGCGATCAGCAATTTCAAATTTTGCAGGAACTTTTTAGATTTGCAGATGTTTATAGAAGTTTAAAATCGATTTCGACTTCTAAATAGCGAATAAAGCGTCTCGCCTTAATATATTATCTCTTATTAAATTATAAAGAATAATTTAAGTTAAATCTCTATTTTCTATTAAGATATAGTAGTTAATATTTATTAGAATTAAACTTTAATTCATATCGTAATACTTACTTTATATAAACTTCGTCGTAGATTTTATAAAGAGCGTTATAGTTTTCCTCGATAGAGTCTTCTATTATTAAAAGATCTATATCGTTTATAAAGCTAATAGCTATCGTTCTTAAGTCGATATAACTATTATATTTATTAATAAAATCTAAGTTATAGAAGAGATAAAGTATAGGCGATAGCGATAATTCTTAAAGAATTTCGATTACTATAAGAGTCTTTAATATAAAGTATTCGCTTATTTTTAATATTATTATTCTATTAAATAAAAACGATTCTATCTAGTTAACTACTCTTATATCGATTTTTTACTTTCGAAGATTATAGAGTAATTGAGAATAAGAGATTTTATTATATATATCTAAAACGTCTAGTAATAACATCGTAATTACTTTATTAGAGTTCTAGATTTAATATATTCTTTCTAGAAGATAGTAAATATCGTATTTATATAATCGTAATCTACGATCTTTTATATATATAGTCGATAGAAGTCTATATATCTTCGTAAGATATATTATTCTTCTAGCGAGAATAAATTTTATTATCTTTTCTATAATGTTAAGTAGAGCTATTAGTCGATATTCTTTAGAAATTAAATAATTCTTATTCGACTTCGAAAGAATAATTATTATTAATATTCTAAAGTGCTTTAAATAGTAGTCGTTCGTTATATATATATTAAATATTCTATATAAATAAAAGAGTAATAACTCTAGAATCTTTTTAAGAATTAGATTAGAGATCGTATCTCTCTCTAAGACTCTCTTTAACGATACTTACATTATAGCCTTTCTTATTTTATTTATAATAATTATACTTATTAGATAGACTTATAAATATATTATATCGATATTAATATTATCTAACTCCGCCTATATCAATAATAAGAAGAATATTCTTATAAGAAGATCTACCTTTAGACTTAATTCGTTATATTCTTATTTATCTTTATTAAATAGCGAAGAGAGATATATCTATATTATAAGTTATTTTCTAATCTACTTAATCTTTTTTTATATTATTTATAACGACTTATATATCTCTACTATAAACTCTCTAAACGTCTTTCTAATAGTTCTCTTAATTAGATTATTTTTAAAGTTCTTAGCGACTTTATATTTATTCTATACTTTCTTTAAAAGCGTTATTCTCTAGCTTCTTTTTAGTAATTTATAACGCTTTTATACTTTCTTATATTCTAATATAAATTTCAATCTAAATTATAGCGATAATCTAATAATCGAAGTAAACTTCTTTATAGTTATTTAAATAGAGTTAATAATAGTTATTATTTAATAATTAATATTATTATTAATAAGATTTTTACTATTTCTCGAGGAATTAACTAGATACTCTTTCGATATTATAGCTCTAGCGAGTATCTCTCTTAAAACCTCGGCGTTTAGTTTATTAAAGTTTCGATATATTATTAATACTAACTCTATTATAATTAGCTTAAGCTTTATAAGAATTAAAAGATAATTAAATTCGCTTTCGAAATTATTTTCGATATTATAGTTAATAATATTTACTATTAATACTAAAGTAGCGAATAATAGATTTATTATTATTTAATAGTTTTCTTTATATATTACCGTTTCTACTAGTAATACTTATTCTATAGCGAATTCTTTCGCTATAAATATTAATTCTTCTACTCTCTTATCGATATAAGTATTTAATTTCCTTTATATTATATAATAAAGATTAAAGTCGCCTAATATAATTTATTCGTTATTCTTAAACTTTATAAGCGTCTTATATAGTTCGTTAAATTTATCTATTTATTAATTATCGAGATTATAAATATTATATATATATATAATTCTATTATTTTCGAACTTAATATTAAGAGTATAGAGGTTCGATAAATAATATAATAAGTATTATTACTTTAATAATATTCTCTTATTAATATAGAAGTATATTTATATATTATTATAATAGAGGTAGATTAAATTAAATCTATTCTTTAGAAAATAATATAATATATTTATATTAATATTTCTTTAAGACTTCTAAATTACTACTATATCGATATTATAGATCTTTTTATTATCGAAGAATTCTACTATAATTATTCTAAATTTTCTTATATTATATTATAGTATTAATAGCTAACTAAGATATACTATTATTTCTTAATATTATTATTAATATTACTTACTCACTCCGCCTAGTCTATAGAATTCATATTTTCTTTCTAAGTATTCTTCTTTTCTTAGTCATCGATAGATTAAATATATCTCTTTTTAT